CAATTAAGCAGAATATTATATACTAGAAGCCCGAAGCACGAAAATCGTGCACTCCAGGGGTGGGGGTCCCTCAGTTCAGGCTGCACCCTCTCGCAGTCTGAGAGCCCCCGGGGGATGTCCGACTGCCGCGGAGGTGGGAGAGGCTCCCACCACCACTGCGTTCGCCAGCTGTGAGCCCAGCTTCTGGCTGAGCGGCGCTCCCCCTGTGGGAGCTCACTGACCACCAGGGGCAGCTCCTGCATTGAGCATCTGCCCCCTGGTGGTCAGTACATGTCATAGCGACCGGTCCTTCTGCCATTTGGTCGATTTGCATATTAGCCCTTTATTATATAGGATAGCTAGTATTTATCAAGCATAGTGTCTAACATGTACAGTGACCAATGACAGTATTTGGAAAATTTAAAATCTTGACGATTTCTGGAGAAATTATAGCCCAGATTGCAAGTAAACAGAAGCATGTGCCTTGTCCTGTGTCACACATGTACTACTTTCCTCATGGGCTTATAATTTCAAGAGAGCAATTTTATTTTAATTGTTAAATCTGAAGCCTAACAAAGCCCTGTGTGACAGGTACCTATGAGCACCCATTAATTCCCTACTCAAATCCCTGAGTAGTATTAGAAAGTTAGAACTATTCAGTTACCATACTCTGGAATTCATTCTTTGGAACCTCATATCCTAATGTCTAAGTGTTTAAGCTCATCTAGCTAAAAGAAAAAGTATTTTGTTTGTTTTAATCCCAGCTTCTACATGGGCAGTTATTTTTAATTTGAAGAGTTAGCAGGTCTTGGAGATCATTAAAAGGATATATGACCAGTTTTCTCACCCTAAATTAAATAAGTAAGAGCATGGAAACAGTGTTCTTGAGGACATCTTTAGAAACTATGGAAAAGTTGCCATCTTGCTTTCTAATAAATATAAGTTGGATGTAAGAGTGGTAAGACTTGAGATTCACTGAGCTAACAATTTATCTTAGTAATGAAATTGTATTTCTCTGCTAATGAGCTTGGTGAGATAGTAATTATGAGTAGATCTGCAGAATATGTAAGAGAACCATTAGTTTACTTTTGAGGGATTCGCTCCCTGTAGCATATAGTCATTGTTTTCTCTCTTTTTATTTTTCATTCTGTGGTATGTAGTTTCCCTAAGGAAAAAAAATATATATATTTCCCCCCATTTTTCAATGTCCATTGAGGAAAACTGAAGTTTTGGGAAAGTGTTATGTTTATCCTGTAGTTTTGTGTGCTTACCAATACACATACCACACAGTAACCCAGGAGGACACATAGATCCTAATTTGAGAATAAAAATTAGATTAAGGTTCTGTTTTTCTGGTCACCTAAAAAGCAGAATGTTTATCAACACTAGAAGTCAAGGTTTTCTCTATCAGGGACTCTTCCTTTTGCTAAGAAACCTTAATAAAACATTTCCTATGGTACTTTGCTCTGATCTGACGAATGCTTGAGACACGGGATACTAGCATCAGAGATATCACTTGATATCTTTTCCCAAAGGGAACTAAACATTAGTAATCACACACACTGCTTTACTTGGTGAGGTTGGGAATTGTTTGGCTTTCTGTCTGACCCTAATTATTTCCAGCCATTTTCAGAAAACAGCAGGAACACTATAGCTTCCTTGCTCAGAAAGGGAGGATCATAGGTACCGTACCTATGGGTTCATTCCCCCAGACATTTACATAGAAAAAGGGCACAGGTGTCCTTGGATGTCATCAAACATAGTGAGGAAAGAGTGCTATGAACAGCCCTCATTGTGAAGCCCTGATAGGTGCCAATTTCTAATCATTGGGAAGAAAAAAGTGAGTTTCCAAGACTACTCCGAATAGATTACAATAGTGCCCCTTGTTTGTGGTTTCACTTTCTGTCATTTCAATTACCTGCAGTCAACCATGGTCTGAAAATATTAAATGGAAAAATTGCAGAAATAAACAATTCATTAGCCATGGCTAGATGATCCTCCTTTTGATGTATAGTCAGAAAGTCAATAGTAGCTTAATGCTACGTCACAATGCCTATGTCGTTCACCTCACTCCATCTCCTCACATAAATTTTGTATCTTCTCACATCATCACAAGAAAAGTTAGTACAGTACAATAAGATATTTTGAGCCCTGGCCGGGTTTTCTCAGTGGTTAGAGCATTGGCCCTCAGACTGACGGGTCCCGGATTCGATTCTGGTCAAGGGCACATACCTCAGTTGCAGGTTCAATCCCTGGCCCTGGTTGGGGCGAGAGCAGGAGGCAACCAATCGATGTGTCTCTCTCACATCAGTATTTCTCCCCACCCTCCCCCCTTTCACTCTTTTTTTTTTTTAAATTTTTTTTTAATATGTTTTATTGATTTTTTACAGAGAGGAAGGGAGAGAGATAGAGAGTTAGAAACATCGATGAGAGAGAAACATCGATCAGCTGCCTCCTGCACACCTCCTACTGGGGATGTGCCCGCAACCCAGGTACATGCCCTTGACCGGAATCGAACCTGGGACCTTTCAGTCCGCAGGCTGATGCTCTATCCACTGAGCCAAACCGGTTTCGGCCCCCCTTTCACTCTTGCTGCCACCTTCTTCCTCCCTCCCTTCCAGTCTATGTAAAAATCAATGAGAAAAATATCCTTGGATGAGGATAAATTTTTTTTAAGATATTTTGAGAAGATTCCACATTCAGTTAGATTTTACATTATATTATAATTCTATTTTATTGTTATTGTTAATCCCTTACTGTGCCTAATTTATCAATTAAACTTTATCATATGTATGCATAGGAAAAAACATAGTGTATATAGGATTTAGTACTATCCACAGTTTCAGGCATTCACTGGGGCTCTTGGAACAAATCCATCATGGATAATGGAGAACTACCATACTCAAGTATTTCATAGTAAATGTCATGGCTTTAAGCATCTGGCTGACTACACTGGCTCAACTCTATATTTACAGAAAATATCTCACAGAAGTCTCTAAAATACCTTCTAGCTTTAGACATCGGTAGGATAATGGCAGTTTAAACTTCATATTAACCATTGATTCTTTTTTCTTTTTCTTTTTTTAAATCCTCGCCTGAGGATATGTTTTCTATTGATTTGAGAGAGAGAGAGAGAGAGAGAGAGAGAGAGAGAGAGAGAATATTGCAGCAGTTGGTTGCCTTCTGTACACACCCAACTGGGGATTGAGCCCATCACCCTCAGTGTACAGGAAGATGCTCCAACCAACCGAGCCACTCTGGCCAGGGCAACCACTGATTCTTTATAACTCTATACATCTGGCAGGGAAAGGATGAAGATATTTACACTTGAAGAAAAGTTGTTTTGTTTTGTTTTTATTTTTATTTTTATTTATTTTTTTTTTTCAATTTAAATTCACTATGTGTCTGGAACTATACTGGACCCACCGCCATGTCAAGACACCCATGGTTTTTACGAAGCTTACATTTTACTAGAGTTTAAGTTTTAAAAATAGTAATAATTTAATTGGAAAGTGGTGAGTACTGCTGAAAACTAAAGCCTGATGGGGAATCGGAGGGAGGGAAGTTGCCATTTGCAAGAGAGTAACCAGGGAAGGCCTCCCCTGAGGAAGGTGAGGTGACTGAAAGCCACGTAGACACTGGAAGCAGCAGTTCCGGGGAGGAAATAGCCAGGGCAAAGGCCCTGGGGCAGGAGCACGCCTGGCACGTGCATGGGCCAGACAGGAGGCCAGTGTGGCTGGATCGCAGGGAGCAAAGAGAAATGCATCAGAGGTAACGGTGCTGCAAGGAGGTGGGGAGAACACGTAAATCACGGGGAGCAGGTAATGCCTTGTGAGGGCTTCAACTTTGCTCTAAGAAGTGGGAGGGGGCCCTGACCGGTTTGGCTCAGTGGATGAAGCGTCGGCCTGCGGACTGAAAGGTCCCAGGTTCCATTCTGGTCAAGGGCATGTACCTTGGTTTCGGGCACATCCCCAGTAGGGGTGTGCAGGAGGCAGCTGATCGATGTTTCTCTCTCATTGATGTTTCTAACTCTCTATCCCTCTTCCTTCCTCTCTGTAAAAAATCAATAAAATATATTTTTTAAAAAATACAGAGACAATGTAAAGCAAGAGCTGAAGCGAAGGCTTCTCTGGGATATTACTTGAAAACTACAAGGACTCTGACTTCGAGTCGCAGGTTGACAAATTCAGTCAATGACACGCACTTTTCCCGCGGAGGTTTAATGAAGAGCACAATTTCAGAGCCTAACGAAACAGTACCCTCCAAGCCCCGGTCACAGCAGTAAACACTGACCCAATTCTTATAGGCTGAAGTGTCTGGGCTATGGCTTGTGACAGGAGGGCAAAATCCCTTCCAGCTTCATCCTTCTCGATGAGGAGAGCTCTCCTGGCCCTTCCGACCAAGTCCCATCTGCATGAAGTCACTCTGTCTTGTTTTGTTTTTAAATAACAAACTACTTTGCTTATTTATTTTATTTTATTTTTTATATATTTTATTGATTTTTTTACAGAGAGGAAGGGAAATAGATAGAGAGTCAGAAACATCAATGAGAGAGAAACATCGATCAGCCGCCTCCTGCACACCTCCTACTGGGGATGTGCCCGCAACCAAGGTACATTCCCTTGACCGGAATCGAACCTGGGACCTTTCAGTCCGCAGGCCGACGCTCTATCCACTGAGCCAAACCGGTTAGGGCATACTTTGCTTATTTTAGAATTTTCCTGTATTATTATCCTCAGTAACAGAAAGAATGGAAGACTGAGTGATGACAATACATCTAGGTGCATTAAAGTTTATTTTAGAGCCAGAAAAGACCCAAAGCAGCCACTGTCTTCTTCTTGCCCTCTGCCAACATTCTGGAAAAAAATCACACGATTAGATAATAGTCTCAAGCCAAACATTTTTATATGTATTCTAGTAAATTAACATATTCTTGTGTTTTGTATTTTCTCAACTATGTCTTTATCCATTTCAATTATACTTTTCTGTTACTGAAAGCTTCCTGTCCTTTCCTGTTACAGGATTATAGCTGGACGGACATCCGCTGCCCCTTTGAAAAACGAAGAGATGCAGCATGCGTGTTTTGGGACAATGTTGTATACATTTTGGGTGGCTCTCAGCTCTTCCCCATAAAACGAATGGACTGCTATAATGTGGTGAAGGATAGCTGGTATTCCAAACTGGGCCCCCCAACACCTAGAGACAGCCTCGCTGCCTGTGCCGCAGAGGGCAAAATCTATACATCTGGAGGTTCTGAAGTCGGTAAGGACTTTCTCAGTGTTTTTGTTTGGGGCATGTGTTTTAAAGCCAAGTACCTTGGCTTTCATATTTAAATAAACAGTTGGTGTTATTTATCCAGATATTTTTTGACATAATTTAAATGGATATGTTACATTTTAGAGCCCATTTCCCTGACGGCTTACCTTATTTATGAATCAGTACTTTAAAAGAGCTTCAACTTCCTAGATTATGTCCATTTTTTAAAAAATATGTCCGGTTTTTTAAAAATGTGTTGTTATTAATTTTTAGAGAGAGAGGGAAGGAGAGGGATAGAGAAATAGAAACATCGTTGAGAGAGGAACATCATGGATTGGCTGCCTCCTGCACACCCCCCCCTGGGGAACGAGCCCACAACCCAGGCATGTCCCCTGATGGGGAATCGAACTGGAGGACCTTTTGGTTCCTGAGTCAATGTTCAACCACTGAAACATACAACGGTACCTTAATAATATACTCAAGAATGGACCAGCATGACTTCTCAGGGCTTACCATACAACCACCGAGAGAAGTCAGGAAGAGTAGTATTGTTAGTGGTGCAGTGGCTGTCATAGAATATTATATGGTAAGCCTCAGAATATTATCAGATAGTAGTTTTCATATTTTAAGGCATGGGTTTATCACCTGTAAATAGGTATGCTTTTTCCCCTCTATATAAACATTTCAAGTTTGGATAATTCCCATCATGCACCACTGGGCTGGAGGACATCCATAAAGTTCCTTATTTAATTTTCTTTTGAAATCAAACCAAATCTTTTCCTAAGATGTAATTACAATATCTAAGTCTCTCCACACATCCTTCTGTGAATATTTTCCAAGGTCTGTACCAACGATTCCTGCATTGTGTTGCTGTTGTTGAGTCTAGAAAAGACTCTGTAAATTCTTTCTTCCAGTGACTGACTCCCTCTGCAGTCAGCTCGCTCCGAGCCTGCACACACACTCCATCGAACATGACAGGCCTTCTTCTTTTCCAGGAAACTCGGCTCTGTATTTATTTGAGTGTTACGACACAAGAACTGAGAGCTGGCACACCAAGCCCAGCATGCTGACCCAGCGCTGCAGCCACGGCATGGTGGAAGCCAATGGCCTAATCTATGTTTGCGGTGGAAGTTTAGGGAACAATGTTTCTGGCCGAGTGTTGAATTCCTGTGAAGTTTATGATCCTGCCACAGAAACGTATGTATGGATTTAAAATTCTATTTCACAGTATTGTATCCTGTAAGCTCAGTGAAAGATGTGTCAAAAAGAGCCCAACAGGAGAATTTAGCTCTAATAGTAAGAATGTACACACAGTTTTAAATGTTTACAGCCTGGACCCTTTCTCTGCACCTTAAGAAATGGCTTCAGTTTATACCCTGTGGCAGCCCCTCTCTTTCTCTTCCTCCTTGTAGGCAGTGAATGTCTATGAATGATGAGACAAGTCTGACTGCTTGATCAAACTCATGAAATAACTTCTTTTAGAGGTCAGGAAATGTAGGGGAGGAGGGGGGAAATTAGGATCAGTAGTAAATTTGCCTTTAATTGAGAAATATATGTTTAATTAAAAATATTAATAAATCATAACCCTAGGTATAATGCCTTTTGTGAGTTTTGTGCTTAGGAAAGTATGTTTAGATTCATTTTTATTAAACAAAATTATTCTTAAATCAACTGGTTTTTGAAAAGCAAAATGCTAAAGAAATAAATGATTAGCCAGTTTTTCTGATCTTGTAATTAATAATGAAACCCATTGAATGTAGCCAGAGGAAATATGCTAATTATTTAATAGTAAAGGCAGTGATAAGTACAATGACATGGAACTAGTGAGGACATGAACACAGATGATATCCTAGTGATACTCAAAAATATCCCAAGAACTTCAATAAGAAAATTCACCTGCTTTTTGAAAGGATTATTCTTCCTTTACCCAGAACAAGATATTGGGTAAATATGTTCAACTGAAATGTTATGCCAAAGAGCGGCACCAACTCTCTTGTGCTCAAGTTTTATATTTAGGAAATATTGCCAGACTACAAAACATAGAAGTCTTCCACTCCAGCTGCTGCTTTTTTTTTTAATTAAGAGTAACAATTTAATTATAAAATATGACCAGTCATGTGCATTTATTTATTTATGCTTCCCATCTGCTTTTAAAGGGTTTAAAGAAGCATAATCAGTAACTCCTTTACCAAGCAAAAATGCAGTTAACAATAGTTTGTTTACTCATATTTTGTTCATCTGGTTACCAGTGTTAAAAATAGAATTGAGTGCAGTGTATCTTGAAATTTGTCTTTTGCCCAGTGTTGAGACTAGGCAATCTCTTGAAATCATCCAGATTTATTACTCCTTTCAAAATGTACCTTTGTACTTTCCAGAGCACACTGGCTTATCCTCATCTTATCATCCACCAATTCAACTATCTACCTACCCCTTTTTGCCCCACACCACAGGGGTGTATATCAGCTGTCCTCCCTCCTAGATCAGTCTCTACTTTACCTCCCATAAGCCCTGTGCTCAAAAAGTGTTGCAGCATACTAATTGGAAAACTAGTCTCATTCATCCTGCTGCCTAATTCTTTTTTCATCTCTAAAAAAATCTCTTAAAGTAGGACCCATACCATATAAACTCCGGGCTTCTAAATTTGTTCAGGCAGTATCAATGTAAATCAATACTATATTCTTGTTCATATTAGCAGAGAAAACATTAAAGGAATTCTGTAACCTCAATTTTTTTTAAAAAACTAGGTGATTATATTCAGTTTAGGGAATATTTTAAAATTTATACAACTTAGCATTTTTTGTATATATTGAGCTTGTATGTTAAATTTGAATTTTTCGTATCCTCTTCAATGCCCTTAAATTTTCTTAAGTGAAAAAAGAGTGTGACTATAATTATCCAACTCTCAAAATGAAAAGTAAGTTATATATTACTAAGATTTTCTTTCTACTGTGATCTGTCCATCCATGTTTTTTACAAAATTTTCTTCCCAGTTTTGACAGTTTTCTTAAGTATTTTGTAACTAGACTGTGTTTAATTGGAAGGTCTGGAATAAAACCTCTGCAGTCAGAATTTTAAGAAAAGTGTTTTGTGAAACTTCCGTAATTCTAAACCTTCAGGAAACTTATCCTATATAATAAAATCCTAATATGCAAATTGACCAAACAGTGGAACGACTGGTCGCTATGATGCGTACTGACCATCAAGGGGCAAACATCTGCCCTCCTAGAGGGAGGCAACCAACAGGCAGCAGTGGCGGCGGCGATCGGGGGGGCGGGTCCGGCCAGCGAGTGCCCCACCAGTCGCCTACCGCAGACCCACAAACCCGCAAACTGGCAGTCAGACATTCCCTGAGGGTGCAGGCCGGGCTGAGGGACCCCACACACACACACACCCTTGCACAAATTTTGTGCACCAGGCCTCTAGTATATACATAAAAACATGCCCTTTATACCATGGACATATTTGAAGAAGAAAGGGCTTTATATCAAAGCAATTTTTCCAAATCAAATATTGTGTTGATTGTACTTGGATAGCTTACTCTATAAAGCTCACTGCATAGAGAGGCAGTGGAGGCCTGGTGCTGGTTCTCCCACTTCCAAGCTGTGTGCTGGTCTTTCACCTGGACGGGCATATGTGTTTAGCGTTGCCAACCTCACCTTACAGAGTACTCTGAAAATGAGAGTGGTGACTGCCAAACCACTTTTTTAAAAATAAATATAAGGCAACAAATAAGTTACTACTATTTCATAGTTAATCATTATGCCTTAATTATGTTTTTAAAAGTTACATTTATTACATGTTTAAAAGAAGAAATAGAAATAACCATACTGGAGAGTTAACACTTATGCCAGTTTTTTTCTTTTGTTGTTGATTGGAGTATTTTAGTTATTAGCTATTATGCACACAACCTCTGTGTGCCAGTACCATCTTCACAAACACAAATGTCAATTGTGTATATGAGAGTATATGCAAAAGAAGAGATTGAATCTCAGAAAAAAAACAGCTAATCACATTGTCTATGATGTGTATGAATATAATGCTGTTACCTGTGAATTAGTGTCCTTCAACACTTGTATCCACATTTATAACTCAATCTCAGTATTTGTTGTAGTGGCTGTGAACACAGCAACATACTAATAAGTTATTAAACTTAACAGAATGATAGCACTTTTGTTACTAGGGCTGGCTAAAGTCCTAAGTGTAAATTTGAAGATGAACATGTGAATAGTAATAGATACTACTAATTTGCTGGTGCTAGAGGCCCATAATAAATTTGTTTTACTTATTCATATGTAAATATTAATTAAAACCACATGTGACAGTGTTTGTGCTTTATAGTCTCTTATGTACCTTTCCCTTGTTTTTTGTTATCATTTTACAAGTTATTGTGAACTACAGGAAATGGATTTCTTCCAAAGACATGTTAATAATCTCAAATATGTCCTATATGTCATATCCTATTAGAGTTGAAGGGAATAAAATCTGTATTTACCCACCTATAAATAAATTAAAACCACTGTAAAGCTTTTGTTTTCTAGCCTTCCGGGGGTGTGTGTGTGTGTGCGCGCGTGTGACTGGTAAGTGAGCACTTAGTTGGGATAACAGATCTTTTTTATAAATTAATATTGTGTGTGAACAGTACACTAAAAACTTTCTTTTATTTTTTCAGATGGACTGAGCTGTGTCCAATGATTGAGGCCAGGAAGAATCATGGACTGGTGTTTGTGAAAGATAAGATATTTGCTGTGGGCGGTCAGAATGGCTTAGGTGTGTGGTGGTGTTAATTCACTGTTAAACTTTCCCAATGAGTTTGATGATACTTCCTTATCTTAAATTATGGAAACATTTCTTAAAATCTAAATATAAGAGTTTATCCAATACATCATTATACTTATTTTTATGGTTTATAGGTTACTAGAAGCCTGTTGCACGAAGATTCGTGCAATAGGCCTTCCTTCCCCTGGCTGCCAGCACCGGTTTTCCTCCGGCACCCAGGACCCGGTCTTCAGTCTTCACTCCACTGCATATGCAAATTAACCGCCATCTTTGTTGGGTTAATTTGCTCTGATTGGTTGGTGGGTGTAGCGGAGTGACACCAATTTGCGTGTTTCTCTTTTATTAGTGTAGATAGAAACATTGGAGTACATTTAACATCCTTTTCCATGAAATGTGGGTAATGGCCATCAGTCATTGTAACAGTCCCAGACGGCTTCTACACATTTCTAAATATTCTCTGGGGTTTGGTATCACTAGTTTTAAGAACTATTGAATAATAGAAATATTTGAACTTTTAAAAAACTTTTTAAAGTACAAGTTTTATGACTTGTATCCAGGCTCTGAATGGCAAACTTTCCTAACATTTTTAAACATTGCATGAAAATATTAGTATTACTATTTTATTAAATGAGTAAATTTGACCTTATTTTTTTTTTAAGATTTTTAATTGATTTTTAGAGATAGAGGAAGGGAGAGGGGGAGAGAGAGTGACACATCAATTGGTGGCTGGCTCCTATACCCCCCCTTGAGCCTCCAACCCAGGCTTGTGCCCTGACTGGGAATCGAACTGGCAACCTTTTTTTAAATATATATAATATACTTTTATTGATTTCAGAGAGGAAGAGAGATAGAAAGAGAGATAGAAACATCAATGATGAGAATCATTGATTGGCTGCCTCCTGCATGCCCCCTACTGGGGATCAAGCCGAAACCCAGGCATGTGCCCTTGATCAGAATCGAACCAGGGGCCCTTCTGTCCCCAGGCGGACACTGTATCCACTGAGCCAAACTGGCTAGGGCTAGCAACCTTTTTGGTTGGACAATGCCCAGCCAACTGAGCCATACTGGCCAGAGCTTTATTTTCTTAAATAATGTACTAAAATCTTAAATAATTGCTTTAAATAATGGAGACTCTGGACTGAATCTATAGATTATTCCACAAACCTCATTTTAGTCAGCACCTTTGAGCATTACTTAAATGTAACAATAAAATTACTTCTTTCCCTTCTCCTATCTCTATTCATTGCTATTTTCCATAAACTGCTGAAAGATAAATAGTACAAGGACAAAGTGGGACATTTGAATAATTAGATTTAAAGTTAATCAACAGGAAAATCCACAGATTGGTTTACTTTTTTACTTTATTTTAATTTTCATAATTAAATGTTTATGATTCTAAAATGACAAAAATTAACTGTCTGTTGTGTTAAGGTAAGAATAGATGTGTGGGCATTATAAGATTCTTACACCTTTTCTGCACGCTTGAACATTATCATAATAAAATGTTAGAAAAATGAAAAGAATTATTACTTTAAGAGATCTTAGAATTGTTCATGTAGTTCATGTTGTTTTATTCTTTTGAAGGTGGCCTGGACAATGTGGAATATTATGATATTAAGTTAAATGAATGGAAGATGGTCTCACCGATGCCATGGAAGGGTGTAACAGTGAAGTGTGCAGCAGTTGGCTCTATAGTTTATGTCTTGGCTGGTTTTCAAGGTGTGGGTCGATTGGGACACATCCTTGAATATAATACTGAAACAGATAAATGGTTTGCCAACTCCAAAGTTCGAGCTTTTCCAGTAACAAGTTGTTTAATTTGTGTTGTTGATACTTGTGGAGCAAATGAAGAAACCCTTGAAACATGAAAAATGAGTGGACTTCAAGACTTATTGGAGACTCAAAAATATGGCCACCAATACTTTGTTCCAAGAGTTGGTTACAAAGTTTTAGTTTGGTGGGTTTTGGGTTGGTTTGTTTTTGTTTTTGTTTTTTTTGTTTTGTGTGTGTGTGTGTGTTTTTAAGGAAGTTTCAAGTAAAGAAAGATCCCTATAAAATCATATTTCCTTACTTAATTCAAAGACCACATTTTAGCTGTCCACGTAATCATGAACATATCTAGCAAGAAAACTTGAAAAACACTAAGCATTTGGTGAAAATATGAATTTTTCTTAAATGAATTTTGCATTTGTAACTATGATTATGACAGAGTGGGAGATTGGCTCATCAGTGAACAGTCTCATCTTAGCTCTAGATTCTATTTTCATACATCACAGAAGTGCTATGTAGTTAGGCTGTTTGTTTCAGTTTAGTCAAGAACTAAAGAGTAGTATGGAGCAGCTTAGTCTCCCATAGATTTGCTTGTCTGAATTTGTTCCATTTAGTGCCAAATGTGTTCCATTTTTAAAAGCAAGGCAGAGTGAGTCGAGGCATGCGCATACTCTCACAAACTTCATAATCGTATTTTGGGACTTAAAAATGTACCAAACTCCTGATGAAATATATTCAATCCAATTAAATATATTCCATCTTTTAAACAGAAATGTTAAGCTTAGCACCCATTATTAATTTGTCATTGTTTTACCCAGGGCTTAAAAAATGATTATGTCTCTTCAGTCCTCACTTCAAATAAAATCCAGTTATAATAAAATGACTAGCCAAAAATAAAGCTATTATGTCTCTTCAGTCCTCACTTCAAATAAAATCCAATTATAATAAAATGACTAGCCAAAAATAAACCTATTTATAGCAAATTTATAGGTCACTAGAATAGCACTGATAATTATACAATATCAGTGTTGATTTTGAACTTCTAATGGATTAAAAGGTACATGATTTCTTTTCCTTAGCAAGATACATCAGAGATATTTGATCCCATTGTATCTAAAGGTTTTGTAATAATTTGAATTGCATATTTGTCATCTATTATTGCTTTTGTAAAGTCAACAAGTCTTTCACAAACCCATCTACTCATTTCTTCCTACTAATGTTTTGCCCGTTTACATTATGAAATGTATGGAATGAACTATATAAAGCTGTCACCATCAATGTTTTTATCTGGTAATATTAAATATTTTTTAACAAAACAGACTAAGTTCTATTCATTCTTTATTTTAGATGTGTTAATGATTTTTTTTAAATTTGTGAAGCAGTGTTCCTATTTTAATTTTGTTTTCTCTATATGGGAGTTGTATAATCTTAAACACTAAAAAATGTTTAAATGAAAACAACTGTAAAAAGCATTATGATATGTTTGTTTATATACGGTTTTTTATGTACATAATAGCTTTATTAAGATATAATGTACATATCAAACAATTCACCATTTAAAGTGTACCATTCAATGGTCTTTAATATATCCGCAGAGTTGTGCAGCTGTCACCACAACTTTGGAACATTTTCTTCACCACAAAAAGAAACCCCATACTCACTAGCAGTCACTCACCATTTTTCCCCTTGTCTCATTTCACTGTGGCTCCTGCAACAAATTAGATTTTGAACTTCTAATGGATTAAAAGGTACATGATTTCTTTTCCTTAGCAAGATACATCAGAGATATTTGATCCCATTGTATCTAAAAGTTTTGTAATAATTTGAATTGCATATTTGTCATCTATTATTGCTTTTGTAAAGTCAACAAGTCTTTCACAAACCCATCTACTCATTTCTTCCTACTAATGTTTTGCCCGTTTACATTATGAAATGTATGGAATGAACTATATAAAGCTGTCACCATCAATGTTTTTATCTGGTAATATTAAATATTTTTTAACAAAACAGACTAAGTTCTATTCATTCTTTATTTTAGATGTGTTAATGATTTTTTTAAAATTTGTGAAGCAGTGTTCCTGTTTTAATTTTGTTTTCTCTGTATGGGAGTTGTATAATCTTAAACACTAAAAAATGTTTAAATGAAAACAACTGTAAAAAGCATTATGATATGTTTGTTTATATATGGTTTTTTATGTACATAATAGCTTTATTACGATATAATGTACATATCAAACAATTCACCATTTAAAGTGTACCATTCAATGGTCTTTAATATATCCGCAGAGTTGTGCAGCTGTCACCACAACTTTGGAACATTTTCTTCACCACAAAAAGAAACCCCATACTCACTAGCAGTCACTCACCATTTTTCCCCTTGTCTCATTTCACTGTGGCTCCTGCAACAAATTACTACAAACTTGGTGGCTTAAAACAACAGAAATGTACTCTTTCCTTAGTTCAGCGGACCAGAAGCCCTACATCAAGGGTCAGGGTGCCTCCTTCTGGAGGTCCTGAGGCAGAAACTACCCAAGCCTCTCCCTACCTCTGGTAGCTGCTGGCAGTCCTTGCTGTTCCTTGGCTTGTAGCTGCCTCATTTGTTCACTGCCTCTGTCTTTACATGGCCTTTTCCCTATGTCTCTCTGAGACTATATGGTGTTATAAGGTCAACAGTCATTGGGTTTAGCCCACCCTACCCCCATCTACTATGACCTCATCTCAGCTGATGACATTTGCAAAGACCCTATTTCCAAATAGGTCACATTCTAAAGTTCTGGGTGGGCATGAATTTCCGGGAGATATTATTCAACCCAGTTATATCCCTCAAACATCCAGTCCTAGGCACATTCATCTTTCTCTAGATTTGCCTATTCTGAACATTATTTTATGTTGGGTTTTGAAGTTTTCACTCTATGGGGAGGGGCGGGGGAATGTGTCATGAGAAAACAGATAAATCTGCATTGAGGAACTTCTACAAAACAACAAGCTATGGTCTTCAATAGTGTCAAGGCCATGAAAGACAAGGAAAGACTGAGGAAATATTCCAGAATGAAGGAGACTAAAGAAATATGAGTAAGGCAACATATGGTCAATGACAAGAGGCAAGAACATACAATGGGGTAAAGACAGTCTATTCAATAAATGCTGTTGAGAAAATTGGACAGATACATGCAAAAACATGAAACTAGACCACCTCACACCATATATAAGAATAAATTCAAAATGGATTAAAGATTTAAAGGTAAGAGTCAAAACTAAAACAAGAAGAAAACGGGCAAATCTGGCATCTCTCATCAATGTGTTTTCTGTTATATCTCCTCCAGCAAGGGGAAAAAATGGGGACTATATCAAACTAAAAAGGTTTTGCACAGCAAAGGAAAATAGAAAATGAAAATACAACCTAATGAATGGAAGATGTTTACCAAGGATATACCTGATAAAGGGTTAATATCCACAAATTACATAGAACTTATACAACTCCACACCAAAAACACAATCCAACTTAAAAAAAAAAAATGGGCAGAGGACCTGAATAGACACTTCTCTGAAGAGGACATACAGGTGGCCAATAGACATATGAAAAGATGCTCAATATCACTAATCATCAGAGAAATGAAAATTAAAACCACAATGAGATATCACCTCACACCTATCAGAATGGCTATCATCAATGAATAAACAAATATCAAGTGTTGGCAAGGATGTGGAGAAAAGGGAACCCTCATGCACTGTTGGTGTGAATGCAGATTGATGCAGCCCCTATGGGAAAGTGTATGGAGGTTCCTCGAAAAAATTAAAAGTGGAACTGCTTTATGACCCAGCAATTCCACTTCTGGATATATATCTAAAGAAATCCAAAACACTAATTAGAATATATGAACCCCTGTGATCATTGCAGCGTGATCATTGCAGCATTACTTACAGTAGCCAAAATATAGAAGCAACACAAGTATCCATTAATAGATGAGTGGATAAAAAAAGTGGTGAAATTATATATATATATATATACCACTCAGCCATAAAAAAAAGAATGAAACCTCACCATTTGTGACAACATGGATGGACCTAGAGCAGTGGCCGGCAAACTGCGGCTCTCGAGCCACATGCGGCTCTTTGGCCCCTTGAGTGTGGCTCTTCCACAAAATACCACGTGCGGGCGCACATGTACAGTGCGATTGAAACTTCATGGCCCATGCGCAGAAGTCGGTATTTTGTGGAAGAGCCACACTCAAGGGGCCCAAGAGCCGCATGTGGCTCGCGAGCCGCAGTTTGCCGACCACTGACCTAGAGGATATTATCCTAAGTGAAATAAGTGAAAGACAAATACCATACGATTTCACTTACATGTGGAATCTAAAGAACAAAACAAATGAACAAACAAAATGGAAACAGACTCAGATACAGAGAACAGACTGATGGTTGCCAAAGGGGAGAGGGGTTGGAGAGCTGGGTAAAAAAGGTGGAGAGATTAAGAAGTACAAATTGGTAGTTACAAAATAGTGATGGAGACATAAAGCACAGCTTAGGGAATAAGTCTTTATTTTAATAACTATGTCTGGTGCCAGATGGGTACTGGAAATATTGGGGGAACACTTTGTAAAGTATTATCTAACCACTGTGCTGTAAACCTGAAACTAACACAAAATAATGTTGAATGTAAAATGTAATTGAAAAATAAAATTTAAATAAAAAAGGAAATACAAGTAAGGAAACATTGATTCTGAACTGGATTCTTTTTTTTTTTTTAAAGGATGTTATTAGGACATTTGACAAAACATGAATGGACTCTAAGGGTTAGATGGTAGTAATACATCGATCTTAATGTCCTGATTCTGCTGGTTGTATTGTGGTTAAGAAGGAGAATGTCCTTATTTGTAGGAAATACACTAAGTATTTGGGTGATGGGACATCAGGTCTGCAATATGTGGCTCAGAAAAAACGTTTTTTGTTCTATATGTGCAACTCAAGTTTGTTTTAGAATAAACTGATTTTAAAAAATAAATTAGGTTTATTTTTTAAAAAGATAAACTAGATTGCACCAGTTATTCCCAGTGCTCCTGTAGATTCTGCTGTCCTCAAAATCCAAAGTATGTGAGCAAGTACAATAGTCAATCATTCTAAACCAGCAATTTTCAACCGTTTTTATTTCATGGCACACACAAAGTCATTACTAAAATTCTTTAGCGTGTGTGCGCGCATGCGCACGCACACACACACATATTATTTTTGCTGATCTAACAAAAAGGTATAATTTTTAGTCATTCACACCAAATGGCTATTGTATTAGTTGCTGTCATTTTTTTTTTATTTGACAGTCTTAGGGAAAAGAGGTCAGTGCTCCTGACTAAAATAGTCAGGTATTGCATGTTTTAAAAATTCTTGCACACACCTGTTGAAAACCCACCAGGGACAAACCTGCAACCCAACCAAGTCAGATTTATTGATTTGTTGCAACCAAAGAAATTAAACACTGAAAGGAGTTTTTAGGGGTAAAATAGGCAGGTTTAGGGAGTTTTAAAAATACAGAGGGTCTGCCCTAGCTGGTTTGGCTCAGTGGATAGAGCGCTGGCTTGTGGACTGAAGGGTCCCAGGTTCGATTCCAGTCAAGGGGACATGCCTGTGTTGCGGGATTCATCCC